GGGGGGGGGGGGGGGGGGGGGGCGGGGGGGGGGGGGGGGGGGGGGGGCCGGGGCGGGTACGGGGCGGGCCGGGGAGGGGGGAAGGGGAAGGCGGCGGGGGGAGGTAGTGAAAGGGAAGAGGAACGAGAGGTACCACGTGCTCGTGAAAAAGATTAAAAAAAAAGAATTTCGGGATTACCGAAAGCAGCCGAGTGCGAAACGCAAAACAGAACGCGTACCCATAACGACGGCGTGTGTGAGAGGAGCTTCCAAAAGCCCGCGGGCGTCAGGACGTGCTGTTCTCCTCTGCGCTCCCTATTCTGTGAAGCTCGCCTGCAGCCGCTACAGAAATACCCAGCTCCAGCCCAGGGGCTTTTCCAAGCAGCCTGATGCAGAGCGCAAAAGAGCACAGATGTCTTCTGAGCAGCCTATCTGAACCCTCGGCTCTGACTTGTTTTTCACAGTTCACTGGAAGTTGTCTCAAAGCTTCGGGTTTCTGAGCATACAGTTGCGTGCTGGGGCTCTCCAACCAGAAACTACAACCCGTCCCTTCAGTGAGAGCTGAGTTTCCCCATGAGAAGCTGCATTATAAAATATGCACAGATGTCATGGGCTTTGTGGCAGAAGCTAGGCGAGAGGCTAGCAGAGTGGAGGAAGGAGGATGCTCATTTCCTCACTTACATTTTGTTCTGCAGCGTTTGAAAGCTTCCATTTCTTTAACCCAACAGAACTTCTCTGGGCTTTCTACTGGGCATCTGCAGGGTTTGATGGAGGTGGAAATATGATTGAAAGTTCTTTCCAACTCGTAGTCAGCATATGCAGCTCTGCTAGGACACCTTCACAGCTAGTGACACCTTACCTATCATCTACAGTTCTGGGATTGTCGTGGGCTGTGGGCAGAGTGGTGGTGCAGTATCAGAGAATCATAGAATCATTAGGGCTGGAAAAGACCTCTAAGGTCACCACATCCAACCATCAGCCCGTCCCCACTATGCCCACCAACAGTGACACATCCACATGGTTCTTGAACACCTCCAGGGACAGTGGGTAGCCTGCTCGAATGCCTCAGCACTCTTTCTGAGAAGTTTTTCCTTCTATCCAAGCTGAGCCTCCCTTGGCACAACTTGAGGCCATTTGAGCTTGTCCTGTTGCTGTCACCTGGGAGAAGAAGCCAACACTCATCTCGCCACAACCTCCTGTCAGGGAGTTGTAGAAAGTGATAATGTTTCTCCTAAGCCTTCTCCAGACTGAACAATCCCAGTTTTCTCAGCGTAAGACTTGTGCTCCAGACCTTTCACAGCTTTGTTGCCCTTCTCTGGACATGCTTCATGGTCACAATGCCTTGTAGTGAGGGGCTCTGCCTTTGGGGACATACCTGCATGTGCAGGACATGGGGCATCCCAGCATGGACAGCCGTCACAGCTTTGGCACTTGGTCACATCTGTGGGCATTATGCTTTGCAGATCAGGCCATGGTCCGTGTACACCATCCCTTTGCTCTTCCACCCAGTCTGGAAGCTCCATCCACAGCATGGCCCTGCACTCCTCCCATCATGGCCACATGGCTTGCAGTGCTCTTCTAAGCCCAAAACCCTCTTCCAACCATCTTCAGCTCTGTATCTACCTGGACACTGCCATGTTTGCTTCCTACCTGTGCCACCTGAAGAAGGCAGGCCACCTGGTGCCTTTGCCACCTGGTCCCTCAGACCAGAGGTAACTTATAGCCATCTCTCTTCTCTACAAACAGCCAGCTGTAAACATGGCTTTCCCATCCTCTGAGTGGCTGGCATGGATCCTGAGGGTGTGATGTGTTGTGCTGGAGCTGCAGCCTGCAGCTGAGCCCTGTGCCCAAAGGAGTAAGGAGGTAAGACCCTCACCCACTCATCCATGGTTGGCAGGGAGCAGAGCTATTGGCCTTCACCCCTCTCCCAGCCAGGTCTAAGGATCCACACGCCTTTCTACCCTGGTGCCATTTTGTCCCATCTGCTGTGTGTTCCCCAGAGGTCCTGAGACCTTCAGGCCACAGATCCCCATCTGTGCCACATCTGAGCTGGCTGATGCAGCAGAAAAAAAAAAACACCCAGTATCTGGATCTCTGAGAAGGCAATTTGCTCCATCTGGCTTCTCTCTGGCCAGGCTGAGGTAATGTTGGTGCTGGCCAGCAGGCAGCTGAAAGCAAAAGATGCTTTTTTGAGGGGTTTGGTGTGTTGGCACTACTCTGTGCAAAACAGCTGGCCACGGCCCAGCCCTAGATGCATAGGTGGCCGCTGCACTTTGATTTGCTTTTTTTCCTATTTGTCTTCCGTTGATAAGAATTTGACCTTTTCTCTCTGGCCATGGCACCTGGCCCGAGTCACTCAGACATGGGCTGCTGGGAATATGCTGTCTGCCATTGGGCTGGGAGATGAGAATATTTACTGGTTTGGAAAAGGATGATCCACAGGCCTCTGTCATGCTGACATCTGGGTAAGTTTACTTCACTGCGAAGGAGGATGATAGGTTCTGGCATCAACCCCCCTGAGATTTGCACAGGGAAAGGTGGTATTTCTTACACTACTGATCATCACTTATGGCATGAAGGCAATAATAAATCCCAAAACATTGCTATAGACAAGCAGTTCTCAGGGAAATTAGGTGACCTGACAGCCCAATCTAGGTTAAAAAAAAAAAAAAAAAAAGAGAGAGAAAGAGAGAAGGAAAGAGAGAAAGAGAGGGGGAGAAAGAAAGGAAGGAGGAAAGGGGAATGGGAGGGGAGGAAGAAAAAAAGGGGTGGCAGAAATCCAGTAGTCAACTTTGATGAAAGTAGCAAGCTCAGCAGGAATGTCCAGCCTGTTCCAGAGACTAAGGTGCTGCAAATCTCAGAGTCAAGGTCACTGCCAGCACCATGAATTCCACAGCAGCACAGGTGAGTTGGAACTGATTGTAAGCATGATTTGAGGACAAAAGGCAGGTGATCTGGTTGTCAGCAGGAGCAAGCAGGATGCAGGGAACTGGAGGTGATACCGGGAACTACTGGACACGACAAACAGTTGTGAGAGGTGGGCAAAGGCAACAGAAGGGACAGATACAATATTTTGGCTATAAACATGCTCTCTTGCTCATTATTCTCTAACAAGGAGATGAGAGGAGTACAGGAAACTAACTGCCAATTTATTCCTCTTCATTCAAAGGTGGAAGGAACACCAGGTTCCTTCCTGGTAGGAAGGAAGGATCATCCAGGTGTTTGCCAGAAAACAGCTCAGGACACTGCATTTCAAATCAAACAGAAAATGCCTCTTTCCATGGGGGAAAGAAAAGGCTAGCAATAAACAAAACAAAACAACAACAAAAACCACAAAAACTCCAGAGACACTATTATCCACAGATGGAAAGACTGAGTTAATCATTTATTGGATTTTCTTCTGTGTGTCTGGTCTTTTCTGGAAACAGCTGCAAAAACATTTTTTTTCTTATTTTACTCAGAAAAACAGAGTAACCATCAGAACCCTTTCACTCTTACGTAAGAGTGGAAAAGTTGCTCTACCAGCACAAGGGGAACAGTAGATATAGAGGTAAGGTCCACAAGCTGGGCGTGTGTAAAGAGAGCATAACCTTTCTGTTATTTCTTAAGCGACAGCAATAATAAATCATTACAGTAAAGCCCTGAGTGACAGTGGAGTCATGGCAAGGGATGGGTTGGTGTGCCTATGGGCTGGCTAGCAGGCATTACTATGACACTGATACTGCAAGCCATGCCAGGACCACTGAAATTCCTCTAGTGCTTTCCTTGCAGATTCTCTTACCTGTACTGGCATTTCACACCAGACTGCTGGAAATCTCTTTCGGGGGTTAACTGATTCTTGTTTTGCTTCTTCCTCTGTTGTCAACTCCCTAGAGTCTTGCCATACTCAGGACTCTGGGAAACATATTTTTTTCCAGATTCTCCATCTCTTCTCTACTCTAGAGATTTCACTTTTCTTCCTCCTCCATCTCATCTGTTCCTTGGGAAGAAAGGGAATGACAGACATTCCCTGCCTGTGGAGACAAATAATGGTATTTGCCCTGTAGCTGGCCAAAATTAAAACATTTGATGGAAATCTCATCAGTCCTCTTTACAGATCTCCAACCTGACATTTATCTCTGAAAATCTTCAGAACATAGGTATCTCCCCTTTTGTTACTCTCTCTGTCCTTTAGTAATCTCTTTCATAGCCACATTCAAATGGGACAACACAGGAAATCCTGATGAATGCCCCTGCTCTGTAAGACCTCTCCTGGATCTCTTGATAAGAGGAATAATCTCTATTATTCCTCTCTAAATCATTTCCCTTCCTCATCTCTTTCTGGCCTTCTCTGTAGCAGATTCTGCAGAGTCCCAAAATCAGCTGATTTGCAGCATGTCTGTGCTTCTGATCATGTCACCAATGACAGACAAGAGCTTCCTTTACTTCCCTAGCAAACAGCCAGAAGCCTCTAAGGACCACAGATCCTGGCAATTTATGTGGAATGATGAGACCACAACAGAGGCAGATCACTAAGTCCTTCCCTCACAGCACCATCTACAAGTGGCAGTCCCATGCATGTTGGTGACCCAGGAAACCCTTCTGAATGCTCTGCAGGGTGCAGAATCCAGGGATCAGTCCTAGTCAGATTGAGGTTTTCAGTGTTCTTCCCAGACAGCTCTGGAAGTGCTAGAGAAGTGGTTGGTTACCCCTGGGCTTCCAGGTCCTCCTCAGCTCTGCTCTGGCTGTTTCCCGGGGCTGAGAGTGCAAGATAGCCATCCCTCGGAGTAGAGAAATCCTTCCATCTTGCTTCTGAGCAGGAAGCAAGGAGCCAGGTCCATGAGTCCAGCATACTTCAGCAACAGGAACACCAACACTGGGGACAGGGAAAAGCAAATTTCAGCTAGTTCCTAGGATCTCAGTATTATATCCACGGCTGGATCTGTGTTAATGAGGGAGATTTCTAAAATCACTAAAAGCCCTTCCCTTCCTCAAACCTGTTATATAATGGGTAAAAGAAAGAATCACAGGTTGGTTTATTTGCTCTGTCATCCATACGGCAAGGGGAGGCTTCTACCTGGAGAGGTTATGGGGGAAGGGTCTTTTCACCTGCCATCTAGTACAGATCATGCATCACCCCATACATCTAAAACATATATCCTGAGCTCTGTCCCAAAGGAAACACTAGCTGGCAGCAGAAAAGCAAAGGAAGGATGTAAGGAAGAAGAAACCTTTCACAGAATCACAGAAACACCAAGGTTGGAAAAGACCTACAAGATCATCCAGTCCAACCATCCACCTATCACCAGTAGTACTCACTAGAGCATATCTCTCAACACAAAATCTAAATGTTCCTCGAGCACTTCCAGGTTCGGTGACTCCACCACTTCCCTGTGCATCCCATTCCAGTGCCTGACCACTCTTTCAGAAAAATAGTATTTCCTAACATCTAGTCTAAATCTCCCCTGGCGCAGCTTGAAACCAGTCCCTCTAGCCATTCCCTTTCGTCCTCAGATTGTAGCACCCAGGCAGATGTTCATCATGTCAGTGCATTGTCCATATGCTTTATTTAATCTAACCTACCAATTGCAGACCATCTCAAAATAATTCTGGAAGAACTTTGCTAAGCATGATTACTCTAAAGGGCCTTCTACTCAGAATCCCATCTATCCTAGATCCCTCTGGTTTCCCTGCCTTGTATCTGAATATGGTAATGCTGAACGTTTGCTCAGAGGCAAAGCAAAGTAGCATATCTGGACTAACAACCAAGAGAAGAAAAAGTTTTGCATGTGCAACAGTAGCACATTAAACAAATCTTTGGCACTAAGGAAAGTACAGAGGTGTTCGAAAGTGCAATCAGTGCAATGCACAGGGGAGGAGACCAAACTGCATTTGAACAGAAGAGAAACGCTCCAGGTGGTATTTTCACAGGCTGTTCTTTTCCCTCCAGAATAGCATATTGGATTCTACAAAATGGCATCCTTTCCAGGGAAACCTTAGTCAGTCTTAAGTAAATCATTCTGGTCTTGACCTCCAAAAAAGGATGCTAAATACTGCAACTGTGTAGTATGCTGTGATCAAAGGAAACTTACATTTCAAGCCAAGATACTGTGGCTTTGTGTTTTTGGCTTCCTGAGACACTGGAATTCTCTAAAATCCCCCTGTGTGGTTTTCCCCATGTGCCTTTTTCTTTCCTGCCACAGATTATTCAGACTGGACTGAGACTGTACTTCAGATGCCAAGCTACAGAGCTACAGAGAGCTGAGGGAATGAGTGTGACGTGCTTAATGGCATCTTTTTTTTTTTTGGTAGAATAAGTAGTACCTTCTAACAGTGCTACCAGTGTGTGGAAAACCAGAGTCAGAGGAACAGAGGAAGATTGCTGCAGTTATAGCTATGACTTCATTGGTATGCAGCAAACAGCCTTCAGAGTCAGGTAAACATAACACTTTACTGTCTTCCAAAAAATAGGATCATTATGGCTTGCAACGCTGGGACATTCATGCAGCAGCTTAGTAAATGAAATGCTGCAGCTGCAGACGAAATTAACACCATTAAGAAGAAAACTACTAAACCCAACTAAATAAAGCAACCTCACTACGTTGGAAAGGTAGTCAGAAGAAATGGGGTTAGCCATCTACACTGCATTTCACTGTCTGTTCTCAACATAAGTAGCAGGACTGTACTTGGCATGAGAAATTCTTCCATGTGCAGGTTTTTCCTCTCATTTTGCTTCTTTGGTCCAGTGAGCGCAATGGAGCCCCTTAGGCAAGTGAGATGTCAAGCAGCCATGCTCAGCTTTCCAGTGAGGGACATAGTGTTTCCTTGTGTCTGCCTGCATACTTAGGAGAACAGCATTGGCTTAGGTCCCAATAATGTGTACGATAAAGACCACGCTTACAGCATTTTCAGTCTCCTACACAGTTCACATCCATTCTCCACTTCCTAAATCTCTCCCCTCCTCACATCTGATATTGTAAAATCTTTCCAGGAATGCAGTTTCCATGCTGGAAGACATGCAGTCACAGGAACAAAATCTGTTTCCTTACACAAAATGGTAGTGGATGTAGGTAACATATGGCTAGAAAAGACTGCATATATTGATATCTCTCCTCTGATCTTTCAGTTTATTGAACACATGAAACACAAACAATAGATGCAAGTTTACATGCAGAAAAAAAACAGCACATTTCACTCAGACAGAGCAAGCCCATCCAATGTGAGCAAACTGGTAATGACTTCATCTGAAAGTGAAAGGTTTCTGCAGCCAGTATTCTTGACATGTTTTCTCAACAAAGACACAGTTCCCACAGCAGAGAACAGGAGCCAAAACCAAAAAAGATCTGAGCTGAGGATATCATGTGTCCTGTCAGAGAGTGACACCAGAGACACATCAGTCTTCAAGTACAATACTATGGCAACAGATTCCAGCTTGCATCTTAGAAGGTTCTGTTGTCAGCTTGGGTGGAAGGAGAGGTCAAAATATTTTCTTCACTCTAAGGCTGGTTTTCTGGAAGCAGCTTGACAAACAAGGGCCTGCAGAGCCTCATGGACTAACATCAACCTTAAAGAGTCTCATAAAGAGATGGAAAGCTTGTCCAACAAGATCATTCTTGGGAGGATGTAGTAAGAAGGAAGGCAATATCTTTGTATCAGATGACTGGGAGTATATGTCTAGAGTTACCTACAGAAACTGGATGTAGAAAAAGAGGTTCTAGTAGAAGGCATGTACCCTGCCCTGCCCACTCTTCTCGTATAAGTCTCCTATAGTGCTTCCATAACAAACCAAGACCTCGATCGCCTTTTAAACTCTTCCACACTCTTTCTTCCCTCCCCATGTATCAAGTTCAGCAAACATCCTCTAAATGTTTAGCCTCTCTTGTACCTCCCCATTTTCTCAATAGAAATCTCATCTCTTGCTCCTCACAGCCCTGGTCTCCTAACAGCACCCAACAGCAGATGCCAGCACAAGAGCTTCAGTTCCCCTGTCCTTCTGCTGTTTACCACTGCTGCCTCCTTAAAGAAGGGTCCCAGTTCCATAGACATATGTTCACAGTCTCCCATCCCCTATCTCTCAAGCAACCATTTATATGCTTTTTTCTGCTTCCTCCCCAGAAAGTTGTTTATTCCCAGCCTGCTCCTGCCAGCAATCAACCCTGCATCAGTGGGATGGGTATATAGTCTTGACATTCAACATCACTTGCAGTGTGAGCAGCAGGAAAGCTGGAGGAAGTCCCCACCCACACTACTCTCAATCCTGCCTACCATCTGGAAGTTGTGCCCAATGCCAGATCTTGTGAGGCCAACTCTGTGCAAACAGAATGCTCTAGCCAAGAAGCATCACTTTCCATTAGCTTTTCTTCTATATTTTTCATCAAATGAACTGCTATTATCTTTACACTTACCCTACTCTCTTGTACCAATAACCTTAATTTTTCATTAGTAACTGGATAAAACACTTCCTGCCTTTTCTTCTGCTAGCTCTCAGGATTAGTTTTCATGATTTTCATACATATTCCTCCACACCATAGGTGGCTGCACTGAAATCAAGGCTAATAGGCCATATAGCATCTATCTCTTTTACTCCTCTTACTTTCAGGAAGTTCTTACCTGGAATTCAGAAGGCATGAGATTAATTACATAAACATTTCTCTAGCACAGAGATGTGATTTCCCATAAAGCAGGTTTTATCTCTACAGCTGAGTGTGTTGGTAGACACTGTCTGTCATTTCCGAATCCATATGGATGGAGTCACCATCTCCATGTGGATCCAGAATCCGTAGATGAAACTGATGTGCTGCTCCTGGCTCCCTTGAATCCAAAAATCCTTCTTTACTCCATTTTTTGAGAGTTTGAATTTTTCTCCTTCAACATCATGCTGAGTTTTTACAGCTCCATAAAACCAGCTTTACAATTCTATAACTATCTCAGGATCAAATCCAATTCCAAATTCAGCCCCAGGGAAAAAGCCACTCAATCCCACAAGTATGTGTCCCATTCCTTCAGAATTCTTTTCCATTTAAATTTTTAATTAGGATACTACATTTTTTGATAGCTGATGCAAAAGCAACATTCTGTTTTCCTCCTTTTCTGCTGCAAAAGAGAGAGACATGCCTCTTGGTGATTCCTGTTTTCTGAGCAAAGTAGAAGATGAAGAGGTAGACTTGGTGATGAGAAGTACCTGAGTCAGTTGCGGAAGGTAGAAAATTAGGTTCAAAGCCTGTTGGAGTCAGTGGAAAGCTATCACTGACTGCACTGGCCTCTGAAGTCTACTGTGGTTCTAAAAATGTTAGGTTCTTCCCAAATGTTGGATTTCCACTGTCAGTCTTAAGTTTTCAGTCTGACTCCAATTCTGCTGAGCACAGTGAATTGCCTTCAGCTGTAGCAGCAGTCAGCTCTGCTCAGGATCTGGGTGCTGTGCAAGTGCTTTCAAGTGCAAGACAAACAATTCTGAGTTATACTTTTTCATACTGACAGACTCCTCTGAAGTCCATGGCACACACTTACAAATTAGTCTTCCTACATTACCTGGTAAAAGGTCAAGCTCCAGCATTCTTACTTCTCAGATGAAACAACTGAGGTAAAGCAGTTAAATGACGCGATCAGAGCACAGATGCAAATAAATGTTAGAGTCAATATGAAAGATCTCTTCTTTACATAGTAATAAACCAGATGTCTTTCACAGCACCTCTCAATCCCAATGTGCTGAAGATGATTAAATGCAGGATATTCACCAAGCATGTAAGTGCATTATAAAACTGGAACCCAAATATCCCAGATTCACGTTCACATTTTCAGACACTGTTCAAGCAGAATGCTAAGGCAAGAGCTGCAGCACGTTTACCCATTCGTAGTCCCTACAAAATTGTCAGTTAG